GCAGCACTTTACACACAACAACAGCACTTGTGGGTGTGGGTCAGTTGTGGGTCGGTTGTGGGTTGTTGTTGGTGTCGTTGTGAGGCACTGGTTGTATAATTCCGGTTGTAGGTCTGGCAGTGGGAGTGGTTGTGGTTCTGGGTGTGTGTGCGGGTCCGGTTGTGTGTGCGGGTCCGGTTGTGTGTGTGGTGTTACCTGCTGCAGACCCACGGCGTAGGTTTTCAGGAAGAAGTCAGCGAACTCGGCGTATTCTTTGGTCACGTTTCCTGGACTCCCGTATCTGCAGCACAAGGACACTTCACACAATCAACACACAAACACTTCACACAATCAACACACAAACACTTCACACAATCAACACACAAACACTTCACACATCAACACACAAACACTTCACACAATCAACACACAAACACTTCACACAATCAGCACATGGACACTTCAACAGATTTATATTATGATCAGTGTATAACTCTTTGTTTATTAATCAGAAAGACTAAAGCTACGTTCAGACCGCGGCGTCGGTGTTATGGACGCTGTGGACGAACATCGGAGTTAAATGGTCGTGGCGTTCAAGATGTGAGGCGTTCAGGGCGCGAGGCGTTCAGGGCGCGAGGCGTTCAGGGCGCGAGGCGTTCAGGGCGCGTGGGGTTCAGGGCGCGTTCAGGGCGTTCAGGGCGCGTGGGGTTCAGGGCGCGAGGCGTTCAGGGCGCCGTTTCGGGCCTTTTATTTGTTCTTCTTCTGGATATTGACGTCGCTCCGGGTTGATCGCCAAAAGTTCAGAGTTTTCAACTATTTGTGTCACTCTGACGATTGAAGACGCCACAGAAACCCAGAACCCAGAACCCAGAACCCAGAACCCAGAACCCAGAGCCCAGAACCCAGAACCCAGAACCCAGAACCCAGAACCCAGAGCCCAGAACCCAGAGCCCAGAGCCCAGAGCCCAGAACCCAGAGCCCAGAACCCAGAACCCAGAGCCCAGAACCCAGAACCCAGAACCCAGAGCCCAGAACCCAGAACCCAGACCCAGAGCCCTGAACCCAGAGCCCAGAGCCCAGAACCCAGAGCCCAGAGCCCAGAACCCAGAACCCAGAGCCCAGAGCCCAGAGTGCGTCCACACAGACCCTGACGCCCTGAACATCAGTCTGAACACAGTCTTACACTCACTTTTAGTTTTTCTTTTAGTAAATAAAGTTTAACTCTAAAATGTTTGGTTTTCATCAGCTCCACTGTGGCACCAGGAGCTGGAGTCAAACACAGGCTGAGTGGGGAGTGTCTTGCCAAAGGGCACCAGAGCTCTACACTCTGAGCCTCTCGGGGCAGGACAGAGTCTGAACGTTTTAGATCAATCAAAGTGGAAAATGAAGTGATTTTACAGGAAAAATCAATAAGTCCTGGTTTAAAACTCGGGTCTGGATTAAGACAAACTGAATCTGACAAAAAACGTTTCAGACAAGATCGAAATCTCCATGTTTCAGGTTTCACTGGACAACTTCAAACCATCAGAATTTAGACGATGTCAGGTAAAAACCAGGACCAAACCAGGACTAAACCAGGACTAAGTCTCAGAGGGTGGGTCCAGTACCGTTCAAAGAGTCTGGTTATGATCCTCATGGCCCATTTCTTGCACTTCCACCAGGCGAGTTCCGGCCGGTCGTCCTCATCCACCTCCAACGTCTCCTGCAGATCAACAAAACCAGGACTGAACCAGGACTGAACCAGGACTGAACCAGGACTAAACCAGGACTAAACCAGGACTAAACCAGGACTGAAACCAGGACTGAATGTAGGACTGAACCAGGACTGAACCAGGACTAAACCAGACTGAAAACCAGGACTAAACTGAACCAGGACTGAACCAGGACTGAACCAGGACTGAAACAGGACTGAACCAGGACTAAACCAGGACTAAACCAAACCAGGACTGAACCAGGACTAAACCAGGACTGAAACCAGGGACTGAACCAGGACTGAACCAGGACTAAACCAGGACTAAACCAGGACTGAACCAGGACTGAACCAGGACTAACCAGGACTGACTAAACCAGACTGAACTAAACCAAACCAGGACTAACCAGACTGAACCAGGACTAAACCAGGACTAAACCAGGACTGAACCAGGACTAAACCAGGACTGAACCAGGACTAAACCAGGACTAAACCAGGACTGAACAAGGACTAAACCAGGACTGAACCAGGACTGAACCAGGACTAAACCAGGACTGAACCAGGACTAAACCAGGACTAAACCAGGACTAAACCAGGACTAAACCAGGACTAAACCAGGTCTAAACCAGGACTGAAAACCAGGACTGAACCAGGACTAAACCAGGACTGAACCAGGACTAAACCAGGACTAAACCAGGACTGAACCAGGACTGAACCAGGACTAAACCAGGACTAAACCAGGTCTAAACCAGGACTAAACCAGGACTAAACCAGGACTGAACCAGGACTAACCAGGACTAAACTAAACCAGGAAAACTAAACCAGGAGCAGGTCTAGAGCAGGTCTAGAGCAGGTCTAGAGCAGGTCTTGTACCGTGGGCACGTCTCGGTCCATGATCTGTCTGAACACTTCCATCCACTGAGTCATCACGGTGTTGTCAATGAGCCTCAGAGGGAGAGAGTACTGCAAATACACAGAGTACACAGAGTACATATAGAGTACTGCAAATACACAGAGTACATACAGAGTACTGCAAATACACAGAGTACACAGAGTACATACAAAGTACACAGAGTACTACAAATACACAGTACACAGCAAATTATTTTAGCAGTCGAGTATAGTAGTAGCAGTATTAGTAGTAACAGTAGTAACAGTAGTACAGTAGTACAGTAGTAGTAGTAGTAGTAGTAGTAACAGTAGTAGTAGTAGTAGTACAGTAGTAGTAACAGTAGTAGTAGTACAGTAGTAGTAGTAGTACAGTAGTAGTAGTAGTACAGTAGTAGTAGTAGTAGTAGTAGTAGTACAGTAGTAGTAGTACAGTAGTTAGTAGTAGTAGTATAAGTAGTAGTAGTAGTAGTAGTAGTAGTAGTAGTAGCAGTAGTAGTAGTAGCAGTAGTAGTATCAGTACCAGCAGTACTCGCCCGCAGTACTCGCCCGCAGTACTCGCACCAGCAGTACTCGCAGTACTGCCCGCAGTACCCCCCCGCAGTACTCCCGTCAGTAGTAGTCTCAGTAAGTACCGTCTGCAGTACCTGTACGAGTGAGTAGAAGATCTTGAGCACTTGTTTCTGGATGAGCACAGAGAAGATGGTGGCGTCGGGGAGGAGCTGAGCGAGGAGCTGCTGAATTCTGGGTAAAAACAGCGTCATGGCGACCAGCAGCGGCTCCCTCTCCTCCGCTTTCCTGTACCTGCGACGACAAACGCACAACGTCACGCACAAACACGCACAAACACACACAAACACACACAAACACACACAAACACACACAAACACACACAAAACTCATGTTCTAATGTCGTTTATACTGAGACTCCATGTCCCAGAATCCTCCAGGAAACAACATCAGAACATTAGAAGAGTTTAAAATGGCCGCTCGTGTAACGGATTCAGTAAAAACACAAAATGGCGTCTGGTTTAAGTTTGTTTTTTTGTTTTTGTTTTTATTATTAGTAGTATTTCAAACCCTAAAAACCTTCATGAACGAACTATGAGGGCAAATTCTAAATCATGTAAACAATGAAACAAATCGACATCGTTCAAAAAGGAAACAAGAAACTCGGCTTCACTTTTTTCAGGTTCAATGAGTCAACAAAAACTCTTCGGTCATTTCTAAAGTGTGTTATTTTTGGTTTTACCTTAAAAAAAATAAAAAATTAAAATCGATATTTGTGAATAAAAAATTTACCTAAGATTAATAAATGGTGGCTTGTTTGTGTGTTGGTGTAAAAACAAAATGGCGGTTTATTTGTGTGTTTGTTTAAAAACACAAAATGGCATTTGATTTGCGTTTGTGTGTTGGTGTAAAAACGCGGAGGTGCGTGTGGTTTGTGTGTTGTGTAAAAACCAGGAGGAGCGTGTTGTTTGCGTGTGCGTGTTGGTGTTGTGTAAAAACGCGGAGGAGCCTGTGGTTGGTGTGGGTGTTGTGTAAAAACGTGTGGTTGGTGTTGGTGTTGTGTAAAAACGCGGAGGAGCTGTGTTGGTGTTGGTGTGTGTAAAACGCGGAGGAGCCTGTGGTTGGTGTTGGTGTTGTGTAAAAACGCGGAGGAGCCTGTGGTTTGGTTGGTGTTGTGTAAAAACGCGGAGGAGCCTGTGGTTGGTGTTGTTGGTGTTGTGTAAAAAACGCGGAGGAGCCTGTGGTTGGTGTTGGTGTTGTTAAAAAACGCGAGGAGCCTGTGGTTGGTGTTGGTAAAAACGCGTGTGGTTGGTTGGTGTTGTAAAACGCGGAGGAGCCTGTGGTTGGTGTTGGTGTTGTGTAAAAACGCGGAGGAGCTGTGTTGGTGTTGGTGTTGTGTAAAAACGCGGAGGAGCCTGTGGTTGGTGTTGGTGTGTGTAAAAACGCGGAGGAGCCTGTGGTTGGTGTTTGGTGTTGTGTAAAAACGCGGAGGAGCCTGTGGTGGTGTTGGTGTTGTGTAAAAAACGCGGAGGAGCCTGTGGTTGGTGTGTTGGTGTTGTGTAAAAACGCGGAGGAGCCTGTGGTTGGTGTGGTGTTGTGTAAAAACGCGGAGGAGCCTGTGGTTGGTGTTGGTGTTGGTGGTGTGTAAAAACGCGGAGGAGCGTGTGGTTGGTGTTGGTGTTGTGTAAAAACGCGGAGGAGCCTGTGGTTGGTGTTGGTGTTGTGTAAAAACGCGGAGGAGCCTGTGGTTGGTGTTGGTGTTGTGTAAAAACGCGGAGGAGCGTGTGGTTGGTGTTGGTGTTGTGTAAAAACGCGGAGGAGCCTGTGGTTGGTGTTGTGTTGTGTAAAAACGCGGAGAGCCTGTGGTTGGTGTTTGTGTTGTGTAAAAACGCGGAGGAGCCTGTGGTTGGTGTTGGTGTTGTGTAAAAACGCGGAGGAGCCTGTGGTTGGTGTTGTGTAAAAACGCGGAGGAGCCTGTGGTTGGTGTTGGTGTTGTGTAAAAACGCGGAGGAGCGTGTGGTTTGGTGTTGGTGTTGTGTAAAACGCGGAGGAGCCTGTGGTTGGTGTGTGTAAAACGCGAGGAGCCTGTGGTGGTGTTGGTGTTGTGTAAAAAAGCGCTGTGGTTGTGTTGGTGTTGTGTAAAAACGCGAGGAGCCTGTGGTTGGTGTTGGTGTTGTGTAAAAAACGCGGAGGAGCCTGTGTGTTGGTGTTGGTGTTGTGTAAAAACGCGGAGGAGCCTGTGGTTGGTGTTGGTGTTGTGTAAAAACGCGGAGGAGCCTGTGGTTGGTGTTGGTGTTGTGTAAAAACGCGGAGGAGCGTGTGGTTGGTGTTGGTGTTGTGTAAAAACGCGGAGGAGCCTGTGGTTGGTGTTGGTGTTGTGTAAAAACGCGGAGGAGCCTGTGGTTGGTGTTGTGTTTGTGTAAAAAACGCGGAGGAGCCTGTGGTTGGTGTTGGTGTTGTGTAAAAAACGCGGAGGAGCCTGTGGTTGGTGTTTGGTGTGTGTAAAAACGCGGAGGAGCCTGTGGTTGGTGTTGGTGTTGTGTAAAAAACGCGGAGGAGCGTGTGGTGGTGTTGGTGTTGTGTAAAAACGCGGAGGAGCCTGTGGTTGGTGTTGGTGTGTGTGTAAAAACGCGGAGGAGCCTGTGGTTGGTGTTGGTGTTGTGTAAAAACGCGGAGGAGCCTGTGGTTGGTGTTGGTGTTGTGTAAAAAACGCGGAGGAGCCTGTGGTTGGTGTTGGTGTTGTGTAAAAACGCGGAGGAGCCTGTGGTTGGTGTTGGTGTTGTGTAAAAACGCGGAGGAGCCTGTGGTTGGTGTTGGTGTTGTGTAAAAAACGCGGAGGAGCCTGTGGTTGGTGTTGGTGTTGTGTGTAAAAACGCGGAGGAGCCTGTGGTTGGTGTTGGTGTTGTGTAAAAAACGCGGAGGAGCCTGTGGTTGTGTTGGTGATGTGTAAAAACGCGGAGGAGCCTGTGGTTGGTGTTGGTGTTGTGTAAAAACGCGGAGGAGCCTGTGGTTGGTGTGGGTGTGTGTAAAAACGCGGAGAGCCTGTTTGGTGTGTGGTGTTGTAAAACGCGGAGGAGCGTGTGGTTGGTGTGGTGTTGTTGTAAAAACGCGGAGGAGCCTGTGGTTGGTGTTGGTGTTGTGTAAAAACGCGGAGGAGCCTGTGGTTGGTGTTGGTGTTGTGTAAAAACGCGGAGGAGCCTGTGGTTGGTGTGGGTGTTGTGTAAAAAACGTGGAGGAGCCTGTGGTGGTGTGTGGTGTTGTGTAAAAACGCGGAGGAGCCTGTGGTTGGTGTTGGTGTGTGTAAAAACGCGGAGGAGCCTGTGGTTGGTGTTGGTGTTGTGTAAAAACGCGAGGAGCCTGTGGGTGGTGTTGTGTTGTGTAAAAAACGCGGAGGAGCTCACTCGTAGGTCTTGACGAGCTGGTACAGGGCGAGCAGGGCGCCGTACCAGCCGCTGCTGTTCTGAGCTCGGAGGTAAACCTGCAGTTTGTCCACGACTCCAGGCCAACGACCCGGGAAATCATGACGAACCATCGCACGAAGACACATGGTCAACTGAGCCCTGCAACACACCGAGTCAGACAGGAGCAACACACCGAGTCAGACAGGAGCAACACACCGAGTCAGACAGGAGCAACACACCGAGTCAGACAGGAGCAACACACCGAGTCAGACAGGAGCAGACAGGAGCAACACACAGAGTCAGACAGCAGACAGGAGCAGACAGGAGCAACACACAGAGTCAGACAGAGCAGACAGGAGCAACACAGGAGAGTCAGACAGACAACACACCGAGTCAGACAGGAGCAACACACGAGTCAGACAGGAGCAACACACCAGAGTCAGACAGGAGCAACACACCAGGAGTCAGACAGGAGCAGACAGGAGGCAGACAGAGCAGACAGAGTCAGACAGGAGCAGACAGGGAGCAGACAGGAGCAGGAGCAGACAGGTCAGACAGGAGCAGACAGGAGACAGGAGCAGGAGCAGAGCAGACAGCAGGAGTCAGACAGGAGCAGACAGGGCAGACAGGAGCAGACAGAGACAGACAGCAGGAGCAGGACAGGAGACAGACAGACAGAGGGCAGACAGGAGCAAGACAGGAGCAGACAGAGCAGAGACACAGAGTCAGACAGGAGCAGACAGGAGCAGACAGGAGCAGACAGAGCAGAGGAGCAGACAGGAGGGCAGACAGGAGCAGACAGGAGCAGACAGGGAGCAGACAGGAGCAGACAGGAGCAGGAGGACAGAGGAGACAGGAGCAGACAGGAGCAGACAGACAGGAGACAGGACAGGGGCAGACAGGGAGACAGGAGCAGACAGGAGCAGAGCAGGAGACAGACAGAGCAGGAGCAGACAGGGGCAGACAGGAGCAGACAGGAGCAGACAGACAGGACAGGTGCAGACAGGAGCAGACAGGAGACAGACAGGAGCAGAGACAGGAGCAGACAGAGCAACAGACAGGAGAACAGGAGCAGACAGGAGCAGACAGGGCAGACAGGAGCAGACAGGAGCAGGACAGCAGACAGGANCAACTATTTGTGTCACTCTGACGATTGAAGACGCCACAGAAACCCAGAACCCAGAACCCAGAACCCAGAACCCAGAGCCCAGACCCAGCCCAGAGCCCAGAGCCCAGAACCCAGAACCCAGAACCAGAGCCCAGAGCCCAGAGCCCAGCCCAGAAACCCAGAACCCAGAACCCAGAACCCAGAACCCAGAACCCAGAGCCCAGAACCCAGAACCCAGAGCCCAGACCCAGAGCCCAGAACCCAAACCCAGAGCCCAGAACCCAGAGCCCAGACCCAGAGCCCAGAGCCCAGAGCCCAGAGCCCAGAACCCAGAACCCAGAACCCAGAGCCAGAACCAGAGCCAGAACCCACATCAGTCTGAACACAGTCTTACACTCACTTTTAGTTTTTCTTTTAGTAAATAAAGTTTAACTCTAAAATGTTTCCACTGTGGCACCAGGAGCTGGAGTCAAACACAGGCTGAGTGGGGAGTGTCTTGCCAAAGGGCACCAGAGCTCTACACTCTGAGCCTCTCGGGGCAGGACAGAGTCTGAACGTTTTAGATCAATCAAAGTGGAAAATGAAGTGATTTTACAGGAAAAATCAGTAAGTCCTGGTTTAAAACTCGGGTCTGGATTAAGACAAACTGAATCTGACAATAAACGTTTCAGACAAGATCGAAATCTCCATGTTTCAGGTTTCACTGGACAACTTCAAACCATCAGAATTTAGACGATGTCAGGTAAAAACCAGGACCAAACCAGGACTAAGTCTCAGAGGGTGGGTCCAGTACCGTTCAAAGAGTCTGGTTATGATCCTCATGGCCCATTTCTTGCACTTCCACCAGGCGAGTTCCGGCCGGTCGTCCTCATCCACTCCAACGTCTCCTGCAACCAGGACAAAACCAGGACTGAACCAGACAACCAGGACTCTAAAACTGAACCAGGACTAAACCACTACTGAACCAGGACTAAACCAGGACTGAACCAGGACTGAACCAGGACTAAACCAGGAAACCAGGACTGAAACCAGGACTAAACCAGGACTAACCAGGACTAAACCAGGACTAAACAGGACTAAACCAGGAACCAGGACTGAACCAGGACTGAACCAGGACTAAACCAGGACTAACCAGGACTAAACCAGGACTGAACCAGGACTAAACCAGGAACTAAACCAGGACTGAACCAAGGACTAAACCAGGACTGAACCAGGACTAACCAGGACTAAACCAGGACTAAACCAGGACTAATGTAGAACTAAACCAGGACTTAATCAGGACTGAACCAGGACTGAACCAGGACTAAACCAGGACTAAACCAGGACTGAACCAGGTCTAAACCAGGACTACTAAACCAGGAAACCAGGAACCAGGACTAAACCAGGACTAAACCAGGACTGAACCAGGACTGAACCAGGACTAAACCAGGTCTGAACCAGGTAGGACTAAACCAGGTCTAAACCAGGACTCTAACCAGGTCTAAACCAGGTCTAAACCAGGACTAAAACCAGGTCTAGAGCAGGTCTTGTACCGTGGGCACGTCTCGGTCCATGATCTGTCTGAACACTTCCATCCACTGAGTCATCACGGTGTTGTCAATGAGCCTCAGAGGGAGAGAGTACTGCAAATACACAGAGTACACAGAGTACATACAGAGTACTGCAAATACACAGAGTACACAGAGTACATACAGAGTACTGCAAATACACAGAGTACACAGAGTACATACAGAGTACTGCAAATACACAGAGTACACAGAGTACATACAGAGTACTGCAAACACACAGAGTACACAGAGTACATACAGAGTACTGCAAATACACAGTACACAGCAAATTATTTTAGCAGTCGAGTAGCAGTATTAAAAACAGTAGTAGTAACAGTAGTAACAGCAGTAGTAGTAGTAGTAGTAATAGTAGTAGTAGTAGTAGTAGTAGTAGTAGTAGTAGTAGTAGTAGTAGTATAACAGTAACAGTAGTAGTAGTAGTAACAGTAATAGTAGTAGTAGTGTAGTAGTAACAGTAGTAGTAACAGTAGTAGTAGTAGTAGTAGTAGTAGTAACAGTAACAGTAATAGTGTAGTAGTAACAGTAGTGTAGTAACAGTAGTAGTGTAGTAACAGTAGTAGTAGTAACAGTAGTAGTAGTAGTAGTAACAGTAGTAGTATTAGTAGTAGTAGTAGTAGTAGTAGTAGTAGTAATAGTAGTAGTACAGTAGTAGTAGTAGTAAACAGTAGTGGTAGTAACAGTAGTAGTAACAGAAGTAGTAACAAGTAGTAGTAGTAACAGTAGTAGTAGTAGTAGTAGTAGTAGTAGTAGTACTAGTAACAGTAGTAGGTAGTAGTAACAGTAGTAGTGTAGTAACAGCAGTAGTAACAATAGTAGTAGTAGTAGTAACAGTAGTAGTAGTAACAGTAGTAGTAGGAGTAACAGTAGTAGTAGTATTCGCAGTAGTAGTAGTAGTAGTAGTACTAGTAGTAGTAGTAACAGTAGCAGTAGTAGCAGTAGTAGCAGCAGTACCCGCCCGCAGTATTCGTCTCCAGTACTCGTCTGCAGTACCTGTACGAGTGAGTAGAAGATCTTGAGCACTTGTTTCTGGATGAGCACAGAGAAGATGGTGGCGTCGGGGAGGAGCTGAGCGAGGAGCTGCTGAATTCTGGGTAAAAACAGCGTCATGGCGACCAGCAGCGGCTCCCTCTCCTCCGCTTTCCTGTACCTGCGACGACAAACGCACAACGTCACAAACACGCACAAACACACACAAACACACACAAACACACACAAACACACACAAACACACACAAACACACAAAACTCATGTTCTAATGTCGTTTATACTGAGACTCCATGTCCCAGAATCCTCCAGGAAACAACATCAGAACATTAGAAGAGTTTAAAATGGCCGCTCGTGTAACGGATTCAGTAAAAACACAAAATGGCGTCTGGTTTAAGTTTGTTTTTTTGTTTTTGTTTTTTATTATTAGTAGTATTTCAAACCCTAAAAACCTTCATGAACGAACTATGAGGGCAAATTCTAAATCATGTAAACAATGAAACAAATCGACATCGTTCAAAAAGGAAACAAGAAACTCGGCTTCACTTTTTTCAGGTTCAATGAGTCAACAAAAACTCTTCGGTCATTTCTAAAGTGTGTTATTTTTGGTTTTACCTTAAAAAAAATAAAAAATTAAAATCGATATTTGTGAATAAAAAGTTTACCTAAGATTAATAAATGGTGGCTTGTTTGTGTGTTGGTGTAAAAACAAAATGGCGGTTTATTTGTGTGTTTGTTTAAAAACACAAAATGGCATTTGATTTGCGTTGTGTGTTGGTGTAAAAACCGGAGGAGCGTGTGGTTTGTGTTGGTTGTGTAAAAATGTGAGGAGCGTGTTTGTGTGTTGGTGTTGTGTAAAAACGCGGAGGAGCCTGTGGTTGGTGTTGGTGTTGTGTAAAAACGCGGAGGAGCTGTGGTTGGTGTTGGTGTGTGTAAAAACGCGGAGGAGCTGTGGTTGTGTGTTGGTGTTGTGTAAAAACGCGGAGGAGCCTGTGGTTTGGTGTTGGTGTTGTGTAAAAACGCGGAGGAGCCTGTGGTTGGTGTTGGGTGTGTAAAAACGGAGGGTTGTGCGGTTGGTGTGGTGTTGTGTAAAAACGCGGAGGAGTGTTGGTGTTGTTGTGTAAAAACGCGGAGGTGTGGGTGGTGTTGTGTAAAAAACGCGGAGGAGCCTGTGGTGGTGTTGGTGTTGTGTAAAAACGCGGAGGAGCCTGTGGTTGGTGTTGGTGTTGTGTAAAAACGCGGAGGAGGTGTTGGTGTTGGTGTTGTGTAAAACGCGGAGGAGCCTGTGGTTGGTGTTGGTGTTGTGTAAAAACGCGGAGGAGCCTGTGGTTGGTGTTGGTGTTGTGTAAAAACGTGGAGGAGCCTGTGGTTGGTGTTGGTGTTGTGTAAAAACGCGGAGGAGCCTGTGGTTGGTGTTGGTGTTGTGTAAAAACGTGGAGGAGCGTGTGTTGGTGTTGTGTGTGTAAAAACGCGGAGGAGCCTGTGGTTGGTGTTGGTGTTGTGTAAAAACGCGGAGGAGCCTGTGGTTGGTGTTGGTGATGTGTAAAAACGCGGAGGAGCCTGTGGTTGGTGTTGGTGTTGTGTAAAAACGCGGAGGAGCCTGTGGTTGGTGTTGGTGTTGTGTAAAAACGCGGAGGAGCCTGTGTGTGTGGTGGTGTTGGTGTTGTGTAAAAACGCGGAGGAGCCTGTGGTTGGTGTTGGTGTTGTGTAAAAACGCGGAGGAGCCTGTGGTTGGTTGGTGTGGAGTGTGTTGTGTAAAAACGCGGAGGAGCGTGTGGTGTGTTGTGTTGTGTAAAAACGCGGAGGAGCCTGTGGTTGGTGTTGGTGTTGTGTAAAAACGCGGAGGAGCCTGTGGTTGGTGTTGGTGTTGTGTAAAAACGCGGAGGAGCCTGTGGTTGGTGTTGGTGTTGTGTAAAAACGCGGAGGAGCCTGTGGTTGGTGTTGGTGTTGTGTAAAAACGCGGAGGAGCCTGTGGTTGGTGTTGGTGTTGTGTAAAAACGCGGAGGAGCCTGTGGTTGGTGTTGGTGTTGTGTAAAAACGCGGAGGAGCGTGTTGTTTGCGTGTTGGTGTTGTGTAAAAACGCGGAGGAGCCGTGGTTGGTGTTGGTGTTGTGTAAAAACGCGGAGGAGCCTGTGTGGTTGGTGTTGTGTTGTGTAAAACGCGGAGGAGCCTGTGGTTGGTGTTGGTGTTGTGTAAAAACGCGGGAGGAGCCTGTGGTTGGTGTTGGTGTTGTGTAAAAACGCGGAGGAGCCTGTGGTTGGTGTTGGTGTTGTGTAAAAACGCGGAGGAGCCTGGTGGTGGTTGGTGTTGGTGTTGTGTAAAAACGCGGAGGAGCCTGTGGTTGGTGTTGGTGTTGTGTAAAAACGCGGAGGAGCTCACTCGTAGGTCTTGACGAGCTGGTACAGGGCGAGCAGGGCGCCGTACCAGCCGCTGCTGTTCTGAGCTCGGAGGTAAACCTGCAGTTTGTCCACGACTCCAGGCCAACGACCCGGGAAATCATGACGAACCATCGCACGAAGACACATGGTCAACTGACCGAGTGCAACACACCGAGTCAGACAGGCAACACACCGAGTCAGACAGGAGCAACACACCGAGTCAGACAGGAGCAACACACCGAGTCAGACAGGAGCAGACAGAGTCAGACAGAGCAGACACAGAGCAGACAGAGTCAAGCAGAGGACACAGTCAGACAGAGTCAGACAGAGAGAAGACAGGAGCAGACAGAGCAGACAGGAGCAGACAGAGAGCAGACAGGAGCAGACACAGACAGAGAGACAGGAGCAGACAGGAGCAGACAGGAGCAGACAGAGGTCAGACAGTAGCAGACAGACAGACGAGTCAGACAGGAGCAGACAGGAGGCAGACAGGAGCAGACAGGAGAGCAAGACAGACAGGAGCACACAGACAGGAGACAAGACAGAGACAGAGACAGAGAGCAGACAGGAGCAGACAGGAGCAGACAGAGCAGACAGCAGACAGGACAGAGCAGACAGACAGGAGCAGGAGCAGACAGGAGCAGACAGGAGCAGACAGGAGCAGACAGGAGCAGGAGACAGGAGCAGACAGGAGCAGACAGGAGCAGAGACAGAGCAAGACAGGAGCAGACAGGAGCAGACAGAGAGCAGACAGGACAGGAGCAGACAGGAGTAAACAGGAGCAGACAGGAGCAGACAGGAGCAGACAGGAGCAGACAGGACAGGTGAGCAGACAGCAGACAGGAGCAGACAGGAGCAGACAGGAGCAGAGACAGACAGCAGACAGGAGCAGACAGGTGAGCAGACAGCAGACAGCAGACAGGAGACAGACAGACAGGAGCAGACAGGGAGCAGACAGGAGCAGACAGGAGCAGACAGGAGCAGACAGGCAGACACAGACAGGAGCAGACAGGAGCAGACAGGAGCAGACAGGAGACAGGCAGACAGGAGCAGACAGGAGACAGACAGACAGGAGCAGACAGGAGCAGACAGGCAGACAGCAACAGGTGCAGACAGGAGCAGACAGACAGGAGCAGACAGGAGCAGACAGGGAGCAGACAGGGCAGACAGGAGCAGACAGGAGCAGACAGGAGCAGACAGGAGCAGACAGGAGCAGACAGGAGCAGACAGGAGCAGACAGGAGCAGACAGGAGCAGACAGGGCAGACAGGAGCAGACAGGCAGACAGAGCAGACAGGAGCAGACAGGAGCAGACAGGAGCAGACAGGAGCAGACAGGGAGCAGACAGGAGCAGACAGAGCAGACAGGAGCAGACAGGAGCAGACAGGAGCAGACAGGTGCAGACCGTATGGACTCGGGGCAGCGGATGATTCCTTCGATGATGTTGTCTCTTATTTGTTGTCGGTCGTTCTCGTGGATGTTGAAGGGAAACACCACTTCTCCCACGGCAGGTTCACGGTCCTGCCAGTACTGACTCACCATGTTCTTCAGGTAGATCGCCGCTAGAAAACAACACACGTGAGACCGGACCGGACCGGACCGGGACCGGACCGGGACTAGACCAGGGACTAGACCAGGGACTAGACCGGACTAGTCCAGGACTGGACCTTACCGGGGACTAGACCGGACACTAGAGCGGGACTAGAGCGAGACTAGAGCAAGACTGGACCAGGACTGGACCAGGACTGGACCAGGACTGGACCAGGACTGGACCAGGACTGGAGCGGGGGAGTAGACTGGGACTAGACCGTGGCCAGACCGGGGACCAGACCAGTACTAGACTGGGACTGGACCGGGACCAGACCAAGGATTAGATCAGGGACTGGACCAGGACTAGACCAGGAGTAAACCAGGACTAAATCAGGTCTAAAGCAGGATGAAACCAAGACTAAACCAAGACTAAACCAAGACTAAACCAAGACTAAACCAGGACTAAACCAGGACTAAACCAGGACTAAACCAGGACTAAACCAGGACTGAACCAGGTCTAATCCAGGACTATTTCTGAAGTCTACGATGTCCATGCGCTGAACAACCGAGATTATTTTTTAACAAGAATAAACGTGAAAAATGATTCAGGAAGAAACTGATTCATCTTAAAAATCGGACCAAATCAAACACTAATTTATTTATTCAGAATAAAATCATTTTTATTTTGAGTTAAATCTCTCATGTAAACGTGGCTCGTTACATTTTTAGATTGTTTTGAAAATGCTATGTTCAAGTTTCTCCCCGCGCTAAGTCCCTCCCCCTTCAGAGCGAGAAACTCCTGCTCGTCACGTCGGGTTTGTCCAGTCGCTCTGCTCAGTTTTGCGTCGTGTTTTTGTGTTTTTATGGACAGCTGTCGCGCGGGAGCGTGTGGGCGGAGCCTCGTACAGACTCGTACTGCCAGGGTTTGAACAGGGCCTGGCAGAGATCTCTAGATGACTCAAACACGGCCGGGTAAGTCTAAAACGCCTTCAGACAGGTTTATGATGAAGGAACAGCGTTGATAATAATTTCACTCTGATAATAATAAACATGAAGTTAAAAATAAAGTTAAAAACAGAAATAAAAGTCAGATCCTCACCCGCCTGACGAACAGGAAACTCCACCTGCTCCGACACGATGATCTGCAGCAGCGTCGGGGCGAAGTTTATGATTTTATACGACTGGAAAGAAAAAGAGAAAACTTTAAGTTAAGACACGAACAAAAGAGAAAGAGACGAGAGTCTTCCCACTAGAAGACTTGGACTAAAAGACTAGAACTAGACTAGACACTAGAAAGACTAGACAGGGACTAGACCGACTTAGACAGACTGACCAGGGACTAGAGACACGGGACTAGACCAGGGACTAGAGACTCGGACTAGACTAGACGACAGGGACTAGACCAGGGACTAGAGCGGGACTAGACCAGGGACTAGACGGGACTAGACCAGGGACTAGGGACTAGAGCGGGACTAGACCAGGGACTAGACCGGACCAGGGACTAGAGCGGGACTAGACCAGGACTAGACCGGGACTAGACCGGGGACTAGACCGGGGACTAGACCAGGGACTAGACCGGGGACTAGACCAGGGACTAGACCGGGGACTAGAGCGGGACTGGAGCAGGACTAGACTAAACCAGGACTAAACCAGGTCTAAAAAAGGACTAAACCAGGTGTAAAAAAGGACTAAACCAGGACTAAACCAGGTCTAAAAAAGGACTAAACCAGGACTAAACCAGGTAAAAAAAAGGACTAAACCAGGACTAAACCAGGTGTAAAAAAGGCTAAACCAGGACTAAACCAGGTGTAAAAAGGCCTAAACCAGGTCTAAACCAGGTCTAAAAAAGGTCTAAAAAAGGACTAAACCAGGACTAAACCAGGACTAAAAAAGGACTAAACCAGGACTAAACCAGGTCTAAACCAGGTCTAAACCAGGTCTAAACCAGGTCTAAACCAGGTCTGTTTGGTGCAGTTTTGTGTGTGAGTGAGTTTGTTCAGTTTGTGTGTTTATTTTCGGTCTCTACATGTGCAGCTCCACGGAGACTCGACTCTTTAATATTCAGGAGGAACTGGTCTGTGATTGGTTCAGCGTTTCCCTCAGCGCTTTATAGTTAGAGCGACGCCGCGACAACAACAACAACTGTCCCCGACTCGACCACGTTCCTCTGAACCACGAGAATCCTGCAAAACTGCGATCATCACACTGCGGTCCTCACTTTTCACCTTTCACCCCCCACCCCCGGGAAAACTATTAACTAAACTAAACTAATGTGGACAAGTTGTTTTTTCTGGACAAAAGTCTGAAGACTGAGTAAAACCTCATGCTCGCTTAACTTTTGAAAAGTTTTGTTTACTGTTTACAGGAATTTTTTTTTTTTTTTTATATTATTTCATACATTTGTTGATTATTTGGGAATATTTCATTGAACTTATTAGTTTTACCAAGTAGCACTTTGTATTTATTTTATTTTCTTGTTAAAATGTGAAAACTAATTGTTGGTTGCATTTTGTTCCCAAACTGAATCGAACCGTGACTTAAACCGACGGACGAACCGAGCCGTGATTTTTGTGCTCGTTACACTCCGAATATTCATCTGCCTCAGTTTAAGTTCACATGTTTGTCAGTGCTGTTATTGTTTTGGCTTTAAGTTATAAATAAATAAAATAAAAAAGCTTTGGAGATGTGGACAGAATAATAATAAAATAATAAAGAGTTTCTCAAACGTGAATGAAACAAACAGAATCGCAGCTCTGAGTTTGAGACCAGGAAACGACACGAGAACAAAACTTTAAACTCACGAGTCACTTCAGAGTCAAACTGGAGCTTTAAACCACATATGTCCATAAAACAGAACCTTTAAACCGAGTCAGAAGCGGCGCTGTGTGAACTGATCCGGACCGAAGCGCGCTACAGTCTCCAACTGGACCCACCGAACCTCCACCCCGCTCCATTGTCTTTACGCGCATTACGCACGACTCCGGCCCGGCTCCGCGCACCTCGGCCCGGCTCCGCACAGCCCCGCGGCCCGGGGGAGAGCCTCTGTCCGCGGCTCCTCTCGGTTCCGTGAGCCGGGCCCGCTCCGGATCACCGTGTACCCGCTCCGCGGAGGGGCAGGAGCCGCGGTGCCCGTCGTACCCACCTGGTTCAGCTCATTTTCGGCCGCAAGGCGCAGGCTCGGGTCGATGGTTCCCTTCAGCGCCTGTACGATCCGGTTCGGGTCCATTGTGCCTCAGTGGAGCGGGACCTGCGCTGTTTTTAGCCGCAGATTCATAAGCAGCAGCGGCTAAACGTCGTCCCGGAGCAGCGGAGGAGCGCACGGTTCTGTTAGGCACCGCGCGCACACGCTTCCTGCTTCTGGTTTCACAATAAAAGAGAAAATGTTGTTTTTAAAGCCACACAAACGGATTGTTTAAAGGAAACGGAGCCATGAAGAGCTCCGGACACTGCGGAACTTTACACACTGCCGCTGAGCAGGAGAAAGTGACGTAAAACAAAAGTAAACACTGCACTTTTACGACTTTCCTCTTGAACGCGAGCGCCGCGGTGTGGACGGACCCGGGACTGTCGATCTGAGCTCCAGCTTTTTTTTTTTTCTTTTTTTTTTTAACACAATGGATCTGTAGGAGCTATTTGCTTATTTTGTTTATTCTAAGATTAGTTTGTTATTTTTGTTATGTTCATATTATATTTAGTCTAATTTGCATTATTTACCTTTGCACCTTTTGTGTTTTTGGGTTTAATCTGTGAGGCACTGTGGGGTTCAAAGAGGAGTTTCAGCAGGACCAGAGTGACCTGAGTGGGCCTGTGAATTTTTCATGTGCACTTGTTGTTTTGACTCCAAAACTGGAAATAAATGTTGAAAAATGCAGCTCTGGACGTCCAAATCCAAATCCAAATCCAGTTCATTTATAAAGCAATATTAAAAAAAACCCAAAGATGACCAAAGAGCTGTACACAAACATATAAAAACATATGAATAATACAGTAAAAAAAAAAAAAAAAAAAAAATATATAGATATATATTATATATATATATATATATATATATATATATATTATATATATATATAAACCAACCAACATAGTGGTGGTGATAAGAAACAGAGCAGAGCCGTGGTGGTTGACATCGCAATACCAAGCGATGGTAATATCAGGAAAAAGGAACACGAGAAGCTAGAGAAATACCAGGGGCTCAAGGAAGAGCTGGAGAGAGCCTGGAAAGTAAAGGCATCAGTGGTGCCTGTGGTGATCGGACACTCGGGGCTGTAACCCCCAAACTGGAAGAGTGCTACAACAGATACCGGGAAAAACAACGGAACATCTCAGGCCAGAAAAGTGCAGTACTGGGAACAGCAAAGATACTGCGCAGAACTGTCAAGCTCCCAGGCCTCTGGTAGACGACCCGAGCTGAATGAGGGTGAGAGACCAACCACCGTGGAAGGTGAGAAACACTATTATATATATATATATATATATATATATATATATATATATACATACATACAACAATTATGAATATGAATTTGAATCGATAACTCGTCCATAGTTTAGGCCCAACAGCAGAAACCGTTTGGTTTCCTCTGAGCTTCCTGGGACATGGACGTTGATTTGATTTTGTTTTTTCCTTCACGGTGCCCAGAAGTGATGATTTGAGTTGTGTTCAGGTCTGAGTTTGCTCACCGCTTTTGTTGTTTCTAGTAGAACAGAAAATAATTTTAAGTTACGGTGTTTTTTTTTTCTCAGAGGAGACGACCACAGACAGTTTTGTTCCTTTGGTTTAAGTTTCAGTTTAATGCAGGAGACTGGAAGTTGTTAGAGTTTAATGCCTCTTGTCGATTTGAGCTCCTGAGGCAGAAGTGAAGTAACAAGTCACAAGTGTTTTGGTTTTATTTTATGTTTGTTTCAGTTAAACATCGACATGTGTGTGGTGGATTTGTGGCAGAAAATCTACATTAGACGACTGAAGAATTTGGATTTAATATTTGATTTTATCATTTTCATTTTCATTACACCATATATTATTTTATTTGTATAAATAAAATATCACTGTGTTATAATTCACACTGTAACCTGTGATATTGTTGTTAAATATTATTGAACATTATTTAATCTAAAGTTTTCAGTGTTTCTGGTCATTTCTTTCTCTTACATTTATTCATCATGTGTGACTGAAAACAGAAAACTGCATTTTGAAGTTTGCAGAAGAGTTTCTGAAGAACAGAGACGTCACATCTACCAACCACACACATGTGCGTGTGCCCTCCTGCATGTGCGTGTGCCCTCCTGCATGTGCGTGTGCCCTCCTGCATGTGCACGTTTCCTTCTGCATGTGCGTGTGCCCTCCTGCATGTGTCACAGGTGGATAAACGTCCCTCCTGGATCATGTGTTTATATTTTTGAAATAAATGTTTGTTCTGTTTGTTTTTCTGTCCTCGTCCGTCACGACTCAGAGACAAAGTCCATTGTTTTTGAAGCTGTAGAAATAAAATGTTATTGCAGGAATTTTCTCGTCTTCAACGTCCCAGAGTCACAGAGGTGAGTGTCGCCTCCTAGTGGAGCTTAATCAGAGAAGATTTAGTCAAAATTTACTCCTCTGCCCAGACTCACGTAAATGTTTGAATAATGTTGATTTGTTCAGTGGGATTTTATTGGAGGATAAATCGTCCTGTGGATCTGAGTGAACACGACTGTCCACATGAAACACACACACACACACACACACACATCACACACACACACACACACACACACACACACACACACACACCACACACACACACACACACACACACACGAGTTTAGATTTGACACAACCAAGTATAATCTGTGATCCTCGTGTGCAAACAGCAACAAACCCACGACTCTGATCCAAACATGTGTCAAACTGGGAGGTCAGGGTCAGGGTCAGAGGTCAGAGGTCAGGGTTTGGGTTTATTAGATCTACAGCTATAAAAATAATTATTTTGACAGAGCAGCCCATGTCGACAGAACACTGGGCAGGACCTGTTGAGTGAAAGTTGAGCTGCTGGAGACGACAAAAGATCTGATTTAGACTCACAGCTCCAGGTCTGTGACGAGGAAACGACATTAGAACAAATCAGAGAAAACGTAAACAGTCTTTAAAAACTCAAATAAAAAAACAGGAGACCAGACTCTTTGCTCGTCTTTTATTTCAGGCTCGTTTTGGCCCAGTTCATTTGTGCGTCAGTGTCAGTGCTCACACCTCGTCCCTCCACCAACGGCCTCCACCGCTTCACAACTCGGCAAAAAACGGTCTACAATTCATTTTTTAAACTTTTAGTTCAATATAATTCATCTTTGAGTCAGAAAGCTCCACTTCAGCTCAGATATTTTTCCATACAGTTTGTGTCAAAAATAAATCTCACTGCAGATTTGATGGAGTTTGACAAATGAAAACAAAAAAGAGGCACATTTCAACAAAGTTTGTGTAATCATTTTAGCAAAAATAACTTCATAATTTCAGTGTTTCTCCGTACATTTGTTCAGACCATGGTGCCACAAAACACTTTATATAATCTTTTTATTTCAAACTATTCGTAGAGTTTAAATGTCACTTATTGAAAACTGTAAATAATAAAAGCCTCACAGAAAGTCAAAGTTTGAAAGTCATATTTTCGTAACAAAAGTTTGAGCTTAAAACTCGTAATTATGAGTTGAAGAGTTTAATCTCTTCAACTCATAATTACGAGTTTAAAAGTCATAATTATGAGTGTAAAACTTGTAAATATGATGTTTAAACTCATAATTCTGACTTTCTGTGAGTCTTTTACTTTTTATTTACTGGCAAATACGAACTTCTGAAGTAAAGTTTCTTTTTATGTTAATGAAAACACCTGGAGCAACAGAGTGAGATTTTGTCACTGATGTCATGTTCTGTTTCAACCACAGGGGGCGCCATAGTCCATTGTATTAATGAGAAACGCTGTAATTAAGACGTTATCGCTTCAAATATTTGGTCAAAACGGGGGTGGTGATGGACAAAGTGCTTTTCTTGCGTCCAGACCCACGCTGGCGTTGACGCGGCGTCCTCCGTTCACGAGTCGACGCGTTCAGTCCTGGTAGAGCAGGAAACCGGAGAAGGTGCTGTACTTCCAGGTGCTTCCGTAGATGGCGCCGCGGTGCAGTCGGAGCCACACCTGGTCGCCCTGGTACAGCGGCAGGATGGCGTGGTTGCTGGCGGTCTCGTGGTCCGGCGCTCCGTCGTTGGCGTAGGCGGACACCATCACCTCCTGGTTCCTCATCAGGTTGACGTAGAGCGGCACGTTGATGGCGAGTTTGAGGATGTGGAAGAGGAAGACGTAGGTGCCGGGGGCGGGGCAGGTGAAGCGCCCGATGTGGGCGTCGTACACGTCGCCGTGGTTACTGTGCAGCTGGTCGAACACGATGGGCTGGTCCAGGTTGCCCGGGGCGAAGTTGGCGGTGCGAGAGGCGGAGAAGGCGACGCGCAGGGGCTGGGCGGGCACGGGGTACAGCGGCAGGGGCAGGACGGGCGCGGACAGGGGGGCGTCAGGGGCGGGCAGGTGAGGCAGGACAGGTGCGGCGGAGGAGGAGTCGTCCAAACCGGAGCTGCAGAGAGAAAAAGAACCTATGTTGGTGGTTTTAGATCTGACTTTCCTGTTGAGGCTTTGGAGCTGACGTCATGAACCTCCTCTGTGACGCTAACTGGAGGCACTGCTCTGTCTGATGCTCTTACTCACATTAGACGTTAAAATGAGCTTTATTTACCCACAGAGTGTCCTGATGTGTGTTACCTGTGCAGAGTGGACACAGCGAGAGACTCCCCCTGACCAGAGTCCAGGACAAAGGCCGATGGCTCCGGACTGTGGCCCAGAGACGAGTCGCTCCAGGCGGCTGCAGAAACACAAACACCCACACTTTTATCCACAGAAACTTCCTCCAGTCAAGTATTTACATGATGGTAAAAGTCTGAACACGCTGTCTGTGGTTCTGTGTCTGACACACTGAGCAGTTTTTATGTTAAAAAAAAAAAAAAAACATAGCAAAAATCAAAGGTTTACTGTCTAAATCAGACTTGGAGAAACTTATCCATGCGTTTGTCTCCAGTAGGTTAGATACTGTAATGTTCTGCTCACTGGTCTCTCCAAACGAGCTGTGAGAACATCCAGAACATCCAGAACATCCAGAACATCCAGAACATCCAGAACATCCAGAACATCCAGAACATCCAGAACGCTGCAGCTCGGGTCCTGACTCGAACTAGGAAGTACGAGCACATAAGTCCTGGTCTCAGGTCTCTGCACTGGCTCCTGTGGCTCAGAGACTTTAAAGCGTCTCTGTTTGTACAAGTGTCTCCATGGCCGAGCACCAAAGTCCATCTGTGACATGTTAGTGTCATATGAACATCTCACACTCTGAGGAGCTCAGGGACCAACTCCTGCTGGTGCCCAGAGTCACGACTAAACAAGGGGAGTCAGAGTTT